GGTCCAGGACCCCAGGGCCAGACAGCTACCAGCAAAGGCCCCAGTCCATCTCAGAAGAAAGCCTGATGATCTACTTCTGAAGGTCACAGCCACTGACACAGAGCATGGTTCTACTCCGAGATTCACGCAACCGCATCAATCAACTTGAAGGCTTTGGTTGGTTGGCTGGCTGGCTGGCTGGGTTTCCAGTGTTAGACAGTATCTATATTTACCATTTACAGAGCACCTGAAAACACAAACCAAACCCACTGCTGTCCAGTTGATTACAACACACAGCGCCCCTGGAGGGCAGAGTAGAACTGCCCCATGGGGTTTCCAAGGCTGTCAATCTTCATGGAAACAGAGTGCCTCATCTTTCTCCCACAGAGTGGCTGGTGGATTCAAACCACCAACCTTTCAGTTAGCAGCCATACATTTTAACCACTGTGCCACTGGGGCTCACTGAGCACCTAGCCTCTACTATAAGCTAAGTACTGTACTAAGCACTTTCCATACTTGGGAGTTTTTATGATTTATTTAGTTTTCATATACACACACAAACTGTGGGGTGGATAAGTGTTACATTACCTCACAGATAAGGGAGGTGGTGTTAGGAAACTCACAGAAGGTCCCACCCCTTTGGAACAGTGGTTGGTTCTACAATCCTGACCCTAGTCTACTGTTTCCACATCCCACACCTGCACCCCTTCTCTGGCCCCTGCTTCTCCTGCCTGTCTGAAGCTGTCCAGGGTGCTGAGCTCAGTTCCAATCTCCCAGAAGCTAAGGGCTCTGGGCTCCACCCCGTCACAGCCAGGCAGCCTTTCCTGTAGCTCCCAGACTTTTTCCTACTTGTAAAAGGCAGAGACTCTCTGAGACTGGACATCAGGACTCCAACAGAAAGGCATCAGACACAATGCCACTTCTACCTGCGTGAGCTGCCATGAGGAGAGACCGCAGAGATGAGCTCTATAGATGGGGGCCTGGATTAAAGTCCCACCTCTTCCTTCCTAGTAGCACCACCTTGGGCAAGTGGAAACAGATCCCACATCTGAATTCCCTGTGTGCACACTGAGGTCATAACAGCCTTCCCTCCCAGGGTTGCTGAGAATGGAAGGGGTTAATGAATGTAACTACCAGAAGAGTGATGACACGTCAATGCTGCGTATTCAGGAAGTTCCCACCTTCACTAATGTAGTGCCAAGAACATTCTTCTGCAGTTAGAACCATGGGCTCCAAAACACATGGAGCTATGCTCAGAAGACAGACAGACCCCCTCCATGACCCCAAAATGACGAGGCTGAGAACCACCTCGCATGGGTTTGTATTAATTTCACTATGGGCGAGGTACTGAAGTACTCCGTTTCTTCATCCATAAACTGGGGAAAATAATAATACTTACCCCACCAGGTTGCCATGAGAATTCAGTGAGTTAAAATGTGGAACACATTCCTAGCATTGCCTGGTGTTTTGTAAGTGTTAGCCTTACAATGGTGGTGGCGGTGGAGGCAGTGGTTAGAATGGCGGGGATGGTGGTGGTGTACTGTTTCGAAGCCCACAGAGGAAAATCTACCTTCTTCTCTTGGACCTTATAGCAGAATACCTGTTGCTTCTGCTCTTTACGTCTTTTGTGAATTCCCACACCCCACCAGGGCTCCACCTCCACCTCCAGCCTCCCTCCAGCTTCCACACTCCAGCCCAGGAACCTCAGCAAACATGAGACCAGGTGTTGAGCCCAGAACTAAAGGTCTCAGCTCTGAGTCCTGGAACTAACTGCACCTATTGCCCAAACTTCCATGCTCCTGGTCCCGCTGCCCACCCTCTCCAACAGCTCCACAGCCTCACACCACAGTACAGTCCTGAGCAACTTGACAGAGATGTCACTGGCCACTCATCAGTCACCATCAGCAAGGCTAGAGGAGGACACACTTCATGTTGATCCTGAGTCCTGTCGTGAGAATAAGACTACCAAGAGAACTCGCATGGACAGGTCCTCTGTCCTGCCTGGGAATCTGAACAGCAGGGAGAGATGTAGGTGGCAGAAGTGGGAGTGTGGATTCTAGAAAAGCCTGTCATCTTGAGGTCTCTCCTTCCAGGGATTCAGTTTGAATATCCTGATCCTTGGTACCACAGAGGAGTCACCCATCACACAGCTGTCCACCTTTCTGTCAGTGGGCACGGAAACCTCAGTGTTGTGAAACCTGCCCTATGACAAAATCAGTCCAGGAACCTGCACCTTGTCCACCTCATCTAGACAAAGAATTCCAAGTGGGAGCCAAACAGATCTTCCACGGAATTGCTTCTTTGGAGTCCAAGCTCATTCCAGGTACCTTCACCAGCTCTTCCCCTCCCTTCACTAGTCCCTTCTCTATGCTGTGTGACCAAGAGCCCATCCCATGGTTCCCTCTCCTGCCTGCCCTGCTCTGACAATGCATCAGTGACCCACCCCTTGACCTCTCTCCTTTGTGAATGTCACACTCAGCAACCTCCTCCTCAGAGCTGCATCACAGCCCATAGCAACAGACACCATGTGCATGAAAGTCCCCACCACACTAGGAGTCCTTGTCAGAGAGAATCCTGAATCTGTCCCCACCTCCACACTGTGCTCTCTGACTCTCCTCCCGCCCTCGGTAGCTGCCTTTCACTCATCACTAAGTGTGACCAAAAACTGAACTTGGGTGGTGAAACGTATCAATGATAATAGCTAAATAGAAAATCAACTGGGATGGTGAGAACAATATGATAATACACTCAGAGTCTCTATAAATCAGACAAGTGCTGTGGAATGAGGTTGGAAACAGATGGACACATACACACATGGAATCTATAAAGACAATAATGGATGAAGAAGTTAAGAACAAGACAATTGCAGATGCATGGGGAAATGCTGAGTATCACACCTGGATCCATCCACAGGGCTGTAAAACTCTTTTTTCAAAGAGAAGCAGTTTCAAATAAAATGCCCACATGAGATAGCAATATACTAAGAAAAGGAGCAAAAGGGAAACTAGAATTGAAAAGCTAAAGGCTGTGACACAAAGGCTACAAGACACATGAGACTTCATCAGTATTGAAACCGAACCCACTCTTGCAGGGTCTCGCCGTGTCTGGGTGTGAAGGGGGATGAAGGGTAAAGATGGCATAAAATGGGGGTCCAGGGAGGCCCCCACATCACGCCAGGGATCTGGCCTTGTTCTGAGGCAACAGGAAACTACTGGAGAGTTTTAAGTGGGCGAGTCAGCCCCACCTACATTGCAGAAAGAAATGGCTCTGAAGGGAAGGAAACATGGCAGACTGAGCCTTTGTAGAGAGGCGTCCATCTTCATTCAGATGAAACTCTCTGGCGGCTGGATTGGGATGACCAGAGTGAGGCTGGAAAGCTGTGGTGGATTCACGAGGCTTCTGGAAGGAGCATGATCGTTGGGTTGACAAGGGGAGTGGCAAGGAAGAGAGAGATGTACACTAGGGGAAGGGAGAGTCATTTCCCAAGGAAGGAAGACATTTGAAAGGCTGGAGAAGGGTTTAAAGGTGCCAGACTATGTTTCAAGGGTCTCAGGAGATACAAACAGTGGTTTCCCTGAGGGGGTTGTACTTGTGGGACTGGTGGTCTGGGCTGGAGGGCCAATTCGGAACCCATTTTGAAAGACAGGCAGGAGTCCTTAGGGCCAACCTCCCTCAGAAAAATCTGTTGTCTTCGGAGGTCTTGTCCCAGACATGGTCCTGCTTCCCACACTCACAAGCCAGGCCCTCAAGCTCCCTTCCTGGCTTGTAACTGGCCCAAAAGATCTAGAAAAAAAACAGCCTCGTGGTTAGATAGATTTTTCTTGACTTTTTACCTGTCATAACCAATCCCACCACCACCAGAGACCTTCCCCAGTCCTGCCCCACCTTCAGACCCCAAGTGCATGTCCTTGGCCAGATCTACTCCCCAACGCTCCCCTATGTTTTCGGCCTGGCTCAGGGGAGCCCTGCCATTTCTCCTCTTTATTCCACACTGAGGGCCCTGCATGAGGGGCTGCGTGGTCTACAAGCCAGTGAACCCCGGTTGAGGCACAGGAGCTGAGAGGACGCAATGGGAGGGCAGTGGGTGCTCACAACAAGATCCAACTCTTTCCACCAGGGGTGGGTGTGGGGCAAGCCCTCTCAGGTTGTCCTGAGACCTGATGAGATAATGGGTTTAGGAAACGTGCAGGGCTACAGGGACACAACGTATGATTAGGTTACACCGCAGCCGAGCCCACAGCAAAGTCACACTGACACGGTGAGGAGAGCCTACTCGGCTCAGGAAGGCTCCAGCACGAGCTTGGTGCTTCGCCCTGCCCTGGACATCGCTGCCTGAGGAATCTGCAAGTGCGGTGACAGGGTTTCGGGACACTGGCTCCAGGGCTGCCACCAGAACACACAGCTCCCAGATCTGTAAGCATCCCCCTCCGCCCAGATAGCGGCTCTGTGACACTTGTCTTGGCCACTCTCCATCACTCAGAGCTGCTGGCCAGGCCAGCAGAGGCCCAGGGGTGATGACATAGTGATCAAGGACAGGTGAGCCAGTGTAACAAAGACAGGAGGGGCTTCAGGGGAGGATAAGTGCTCCGAGCAAACCCAAAAGGGACACAGTTGCCTTGTGCTAAGGTGGGGACTCTTGTTCCCACAACCCTAGCCTTGGGAACTCTGGGGAAGAGGGCCTAAGCCTCGAGGTCTCTTTACCTACTTTCAGGCTGATGAGATTAGGGGGCAGCGTGGAGGGTCCTGCAGCCAGGCAGTGAAGGGGCTAGGCTTCTCCTCACCCCAGCCCCCAGGCCCGTAGGACAGAGGCCCAGCCCCTCCCCTCCCCGGAGGCAGGCTAGGGCAGAAAGGCTTCTGTCTGTCCACGGCGGCCTCTCCCTGCCCTGCCAGCCCAGGGCCTTCCAGTCCCACCAGTGCCCCGCACCAAAGTGCCCACGGATTCCACGACACTGCTGAGGAGCCCGGCTGAGGCCCTGCCCAGCTGATCTTCTTCCATTTCTCAGGGCAAGACCTGGACTGCCATGGAACTCATCTTCTTTGTAGGGGTTCTTGCTGGTACGTACCCATGACCTTCTCCTCCCTCCTGTAAGACACAGGTAATGTAGCAAGCAGCAGGTGAGGGGCAGGGGAGAGGTGGAAGGGGGAAGGAGAGACAAGGACACTGTCAGATGCAAAGGTCCCCTTTCTTAGACCCCATCAAAGGCGTGCAGGTGGGGTGGGTGAGCCCACCCTGCCAATGCTAAACTACCGGGAGGGTCGTGGCACAGGCCTGGGAGAGTGCCCAGCTGTGTGTTGATCCAAAATGCAGCCTCCTCGCTCTCCGGGCAGGTCCCTATGTGGCCACAAGGACAGAGAATTCATTGTGACCTGATGTTCCCGTTCCCCAAAGTTTAGAGACTCCAAATGCAGAGGGTGGAGAAAGTGGGCCCATCTGCCCCGACCTGCTCACAACGGCAGGAGCTGTTGGCACTTCCCACCCCTCCGCCTGCCTGGGGGGCATCAAATCTCAAGGGTGTAACTCATCCGAACTTCCAGTCAAAACAGGAACATGAGTACCTCACTGACCTGGAGACCTGCTCCTATAAAGATTGTTGTTGTTGCTGTTGTTGTTATGTGCCGTCAAGATTACAGCCTAGAAAACCCTATAGGGTGGCTCTACTCTGTCCCATGGGGTTGCCCTGAGTTGGCATGGACTCAAGGCACCACCAACAACAGCAGTGTTGTTATGAAGATGAAACAAACCCACAGGAAACCCCACAGTCTGGGTGAGATCAGTGCCTGGGCCGAGTCAGTGCCCAGAGACAGGCGCTAGCTCTTGCCCTTATCAATGCTGTTATGAGCCGCCCTCGAGTGGGCCCCGAGAACGCACCACCACGGAACGAAATGGTGCCCGGGCCAGCGCCAGCCCGTGAGCTGTTTGCTCCGACGGCTGTGCCTCAAGGGCTCTCACTGGATCCTTGTTGCAAGTAGGTCCCCAGGCCTTTCTTGCCACTCCCTCTTAGTGGGTAAGCTCCACTGAAACCTGCTGCGCTTCCCAGGAACGCAGCCTCCACGGACAGAGGGGCTGTGCCGGCCACACCGCAGCCCAGCTCTCCGGCCCGCAAGGCAACAACTGGACCTCAGAGCCTCCACCGCCCGCCCCTTGTTACACAGGCGCCATTTCCCCGTGGGGTGTCTGTGACCACAAGAGCAGGTGGGGTGCAGGCCCGGGCACAGGGAGGAGTGGCAGGGCTTCCCGGCAGCCACACAGGAGTGACGTGTGATTCCAACACCGGAAACGGCCTGCCTTCCTTTCCGCTGGAGGTGGTGTTCAAGTAATTCATTTACTGTAACATTACATGCCTCTATTAAAAATCCAGGAGCTCTGGCAGTGTAGTGCCTAAGGCACTTGACTGCTAACCAGAAGGCTGGCGGTTCAAACCCACCAGCCACTCCTCGGAAGGAAGGTTGGGCAATCTTCTTCCGTAGAGATACTGCCTCGGAAACCCAAGGAGGGGCCGCTATGAGTCGGGGCCGACTCGACGGCACATAACAACAACAACAACATTAGAAATCCAGAAATACCACAAAGTAAAAAAAGATAAACATCACCCACATGCCTCCAACTGAGTTAGTGTGCGCTAGTCCTGCAGTAGCATTTACTTCCTGGCTTTAGAGAGGGGCACTGAAACAGTTATAATTATATATCTCATTAAATAATGTATGTGTATATAATGCAATAATTATAATTATATAATATTAAATAGTTACAGATAAATAATTATAATTATATAAAATATTAAACAATTTTATAGAGGGCATTAAATCATTATAATTATACATATTATTAAATAATTTTTATAATGGAATAATTATAATTATACTATTAATTTTTTTAATATATTTGTCTGCATTTACTTATGTATCAACTTCCAGCAGATCCAGAGAGATAGATACACTCAAATAAAAAATAAGCCATAGAAACGCACTATAGCTATATAATAAAATATGTACATATAATATTAGATAATAAAATGTACATATAATACTTTAACCCAATTGCTTTAAGAAAAAAGCAAATGAAAAATAAGCTGCAATTCTATGGCTTATTTTTTGTTTGCTTTTTTAAAAAACGGGGTGAAAATATTTTATATGTACATTTTTATTATTAGTATTTTAAGTTCTATCATCAATAGTTCCTGTGTTATTTAATGTTCCTTATGGATCAGACTTGGGTAACGACAGTGCTCCCTGTGTCCATGCAGTCTGTAATGCTGAAGTCCAACGTTTCGGCATGGACTCAACTGTTCCCAGGGCTCAGTGAGCTTCCTTGATGTTCTACTGAGTGTGTCGTTCAGAATCTCTGTGAGCATCAGATTGTGTCTTTAGAATGGGTTCTTGGGATTGGAATTATTAGGTTACAGTTCATCAACCATCAGGTTCATTAATTAGATAATCAATTGACAATCCTGATGTCAAGTCCTAAGTTGCTTTTCAAGAAGGACCACTGGGATCGATGACATTCCTGCAGTGAACGAGTCCGTCTCACACTCTTTCTTGGATTGAACATTACAAATTTTAAACAAAAATGATTACTATAAATATTAGATAAAACGGTATGTCACTTTACTTTACATTTTCATTAATGTAATGAAACAAATGCCAAACAGGTTTGCATTCTTGGCCGATGGATGACGGTCTTCAAAATCACCCAAGAAAACTAATGATAGCTTCGTTTGTTCTAAGACTGTGTTATGTGCTAAAAATATTAATTATTTTCCCAGGTACATTTTTCCCTGCTCACTCGTTGGTGCAGAAGGAAGACCCCGCCCCCTATTTGGTGTACCTCAAGTCTCACTTCAACCCCTGTGTGGGGGTCCTCATCCAAAGTAGCTGGGTGCTGGCCCCAGCTCACTGCTACTTACCGTGAGTGGTGGCACCCCAGCCCAAAGCAGCTACTGTTCCTTCTACCTCAGTGGCCCTCAAATGGGCCATTTCCCCCAGGGGACATTTGGCAGTGTTGGAAGACAACGTTTTTGATTGTCACACTGGGGGGTGGGGATGGTGCTTCTGGCAACCAATGGAGAGAGGTTGGGCACAGGTGCTGCTGGACAGGGCCCACCCAGAAAACCTCCACTGGAATGCCAGCGGTGTCCTCCCTGTTGGGACTCTGGTGTACCCACCATGCGTCATCTGCCATCAGTGTTTTCAAGTTTGTCACTGGCAATATAAACACTTTGTATCAAGTAGGGTCCCAGCAGGAAGCTGACAGTGTCCTCAAACTGGTTGCCTTGAGGAGCACGCAAGGAGGGCACTGTTTACAGAGAGACGGGGATGTTACAGTGAGAACAGAAGAGTGTGGCAACCCAGGGTTGGTGTCAGGAAGATAAGAGGTGCCACCCTGGACCTCTAGAGCAAGAGGAGAGTGTGGCTCCAGGGAGAGAGCAGGAACTGCCTAGAGACGCACGCTGGGCACAGGGGACCCCACTGTGGCCACCCTGAAGATTCTGCTCTCCTCCCTGCAGCTTCCTTCTGGGGCTTCCCATTGGCCACCACCCAGTGGAAACCCAGAAGACAAGTGAGCTCATGACTGAGTCTCGTGTGTCCCCTGCAAAGGCACCCAGCCATTGGGGTTGGGTGTGAGTAACTCTGGTGAGAGGCCAGATTTCTGTGCCTGGTCACCTGTCCCCCTGCCTCCCCCTAGGACAAGCTGGCACAGATAGAGCAGGGAGAGAAACTATCTCTGCCAGGCAGCATTCTCCTCTCACTCGGATCAACAGCTCCACTGCCCTGGGTACTAACGGGCCCCCGGGGCTCCATCTGGAAAATGGGGAGAGAAACAGCACCCACCCAGTAGGCTCACAGAGTCTTGAAGGAGAGGAGCGGCTAAAGCACTTGACCTGGCACCTGGCACATTGTACCACTCCACTCCTTAGCTATAACAAGGCTGACGACGATGACGACGATGACAGTGACCTCTAGCCCTTCTCCCTCCAGAAATCTGAAAGTGATGCTGGGAAACCTGAGGGTCAGGGTCAGAGATGGGACAGAGCAGGTGATCAACCCCATCCAGATCGTTCGGTATTGGAACTACAACCACACCAACCCCCAGGACGATCTCATGCTCATCAAGCTGGCCAAGCCGGCCACCTTCAACCAGAAGGTCCAGCCTCTGCCCCTGGCCACCAGCAACGTGCGGCCCGGCACCATGTGCCTGCTTGCGGGGCTGGACTGGAGCTACGACAACAGTGGTGAGTGAGCGGCCTCCGAGGCGCGGGCCCTGGCTCTCCCAGCCCAGGGTCACACGCACACGCACACGGCTGTGCAGTGGGGAGCATGGGGACTGTCCCAGGCCTTCTGTCCAAAGGCCATGCCATCCCCTTCTCCAGGCCAGATAGCCCTGCCGCCTCACCCTCGGGTCTGGCCATCAGGGGCCACTCCACATGGGGGGGCCGTGCCCCACTTCCCTGGAGCGTGCAGCTCTGAGAGCATAGAAAACTCGTGAGAGGGGGCACCCCGTCCTCCTCCCAGACAGACCCTGGAAAAAGAAACCTCTGCCCTGCCTCTTGGGCCGTGCCCCCTCAGATGTGTCTGTGGTCACCCCTTCTCTGTCCCTTGTGTTCACATGGAGAGCATCGTGAGGCTGGGGGGCAGGCTGTACAGGACAGCTGAGCCCAGGCCTCCGGTGCCATCCCCCCAGGCAGGCACCCTGACCTGCGGCAGAGCCTGGAGGCCCCAGTGATGACGGACAAGGAGTGCCAGAAGACAGAGCAGGGCCAGCGCCACAGGAACTCACTGTGCATCAAGTTCGTGAAGGTGTTCGCCCGCATTTTTGGGGTAATCTTCTCTCTACACCCCACTTTAAGGGGCTTGTGCATCCAGGGAACTATTTAATGAGGAGGTAGCTGAAGAAACGGAAGAGAAAGCCATCTGGAGAGGCCTGCCCTCCATGACTAGGGAGGCTGTGAGGGTGCTGCAGCTGCTTGTTGTTCCTTGGTAACAGCGCCCCCCACGGAGTATGGTCATTCCTTGTTGTCCGGACAACTCATGGGGACCCTGGGTGAAAGAGTAGACCTGCTGATCCTCACAGTGGCAAATGAAGTTGGGCAAGCTGGGCACTGCTTTAAAAAAGTCCAAGTTTTCACTACTGCAAACAGCCGGCCCCCACTGAAGTCCACTTGCTTTGCCTCTGTGGGGTTGGCTTGGTGTCCGTCAACAGCAGCTGCCACAGGCCATGCTGTTTCCTTCTGTGTGTGCACCCTCTTGTCTTACCATCTGCCGAGCACAGCTCCTTACTAAGCCTTAGCAGGAAGGACACGAGAAGCCCCCTCCCCTTAGGAAATGCCTTCAGGGGACATCTATGTCTTCTGTGTCTGCACCAATGAGTTCTTCCTGCTTCGCAGCCCCACAGCCCCCACCCCTGCCCTTGTGCTCTCTCTTCTTCTCTGCTGCCAGGATGTCCCACATTTGAGGGGGACAGAGGGATGGCTATGATAGGGCTGGATGATGGTAACTTCATGGGTCCAGGTTCCCACTGTCCACCCCCTCGTGTGACCCGGGAGTTCTTGAGAGGCTTCTCCTCTGACTTTCTCCAGGCCTCGCGAGAACTCCCGTGTCACTCAGTGACACCTCAGTGCCTCCTCAGGACCCAGCCCCACCGCACTGCCCTGGGCCGAGCTCAGGGTCCAGCTCCTGAGGACAGGCTCTGACCCATGCCATGATCTCAGTAGGAGGTGGCCGTGGCTACTGTCATCTGCAAAAACAAGCTGCAGGGCATCGAGGTCGGCCACTTCATGGGGGGCGACGTCGGCATCTACACCAACGTCTACAAGTACGTGTCCTGGATCGAGAGTGTCACCAGAGACAAGTGACACTGCCACTCCCTCAGCACCCTGGCTCTGCCACTGCCCACACGGCACACCCAAACTCACAATAAAATCGCCACCCAGAAGTCCCGTGCTGGGCTCGCCCTATTGTCTGTGTCCCTCTGTGTCTCTGCCCAAGTCTCACTCCCTCTGAGAGACTAGAGTGGGCTGAAGTGATGCGAGCACGGACTGCACTCTGCTGGGCTGCAGGCACGCTCGGGGCCCCAGGGCTCGTGAGAGGTCCCATGCCTTCTCACAGATGAGTGCAGTGAGGCTGGCAGAGCTGGTGGCAATCAGGCCTGGCTGGAACCCGAGCGTCAGCTTCCAACCTGCTCCTGGCTTCAGCGTGGAGGGAGCCAGGGAGCAGATGATGGCTCCGTCCCCACCACTCTCCTGCCTCCAAAGGGCAGTAAGCATGATGCATCCTGCGCAGTGTGAGCTCCCTGATCTCCGGCAAAGGCCAGTGAGCGCTCGCCTGAGATGGAGCAGGAGGCCAAAGGCCCAGAGCCCAGACAGCCCTCCTACCTTCGTGCCAACAACCATTGTAAGGTTGCTGGAGATGTCGGGAGGAATGCTCAAGGTCAAACAAAGAACAGTGCTTGGAAAGGAGTTTACCATTTAGGTTGATTCGCCTGAGGGCTATCAGAATGTGCGCTTTTCTGACCCTGAGGCAGTTACTAAGGGAAGAACTGACTAGAAAGTACCAGTTCACAGAGGACTGAGTTAAGCAATCCATTAAGACTGAGTGGAAAAGTTTAAAGATGATTTCTTCCCCCAAAAGGAAAGAAAGCCAGCACAGACAGGCAACAAGGGAGACAGACTGTTGCTCTGTTTAGACGACAGACACAGAACAGCTCTCCACTCCCTCCCTGTGTCTGCCGGAGAGACCGTTCCCCACAGCCGCGCCAATGTTCCCTCTGTATGTGCAGGAGAGAGCAGACACGAGTCCAGGCTACCTAGGAAGCAGCAGAAAGGAAATGAGGCATCCGCCTTTGGTTAGTTACTTAGGGAAAAAACACATCAAGTGTTTAAAATACGGTGCGGTTGGCTAATGCTCAGGGAAGATTGCTTAAAATTTCATAATTTCAATAGAGCATTTGTTGAAAATGTGGTTGATTCCTATTCAAGTTCTGTAAATAAATTTTGCATATTAAAGAAACATTCAGAGTCAAGCATTGATGAAAAGATTTTTCAGGGACAACTGGTCCAAATGGTGTTTAAGCTTGAAAAGAAAGGAGGACTGTGTGGAGGAGGGAAGAAACTGGGACTGCGGAAAGCAAAGATCCGTGCAAGGCTCACTTCATGAGGGTAGACAGAGGGCGGCGGCTCAGAGCTCTGTCTTCAGGAGGTCCCTGATCGTCTCCACAGAGGAACGGAGCCACTGGAAGAAGAATCAGAGAGAGGACGTACAGGTGCAAATGGTGAAGACAAAAGGCGTTCATAACCATCTTATGCCGGGAACCAACAAGTTCCCAGTGAGAGACATCAGGAAACATTCTTGAGGAAGGAAAAGTTGTTTCACCTTGCAAATTTGCCAAGCAGGAATGCTAAAAAATATGGCAACAAAACAAAGTACAGGCATGTGAGTTAAACATTTACCTCAAGTAGACACACGCCCTGGAGAGAACAATCATGGGAGAAGGAAGGGCTGCTTATGCACAGGGAGATAGCTCAGGGTGCAGAAGAGTATGAAGGGATGGACACTGGGAGGAGGTAACCATGGGGAGGAAGTGGGAGGGGAGCTGCTGCATTGTAAATTTTGGTCAATGACATGAGACAAAGTATATGTGAACTGCTGTATGAAAAGTGAATTTACTCTGTAAATCTTCACCCAAATCCTAATAATAATTAAAAAAAAATTATGGCAACAAATTTGGGCAAGACTGGAGTATCAAGGGGTCTTCGTTACAGACCTTTTAAAATTCTTATACTATAGAGAGATGCTGGGAGGGACTAGAGAGGTAAAAAGGGGCCCCAGTGGCACAATGGTTAAGTGCTCACTCACTAACCGAAAGATCAGTGGCTTGACCAACAGCCTCTCCACAGAAGAAAAGACCTAGCAAGCTGCTCCCGTAAAGATGACAGCCTAGGAAACCCCACAGGGCAGTTCTACTCTGTCCTGTGAGTTGGAACCAACTGAATGGCACCCAAGAGCACTGCCTTTGAGTCAAATCCAAGTAACAAATAGATAGAATCCCTGGTGACAGTAACCCAGAGGGTCCACACGGGCATCAAGATGAGATCAGAGTGCCAGTCTGAAAGCCAGAGAGCCCCTGGGTGCAGGAGGTATGGCCCTGGGAAGTGAGGCAGGGGCAAGGGCTGGCACACTAGAAACAGGGCAGCAGATTTCGGTCAGTGGGAAAGGGACACTCAGGAAATAAGGGGGCTTGGCGAGAAGACTCTAGCTCCATCCATCACCTGTAGGTCAGCACTCAGTACCAGGAAGGAACGAGCCTTTCACAGAACCAGGTGCCTGAGTGGAGTTTCTGTTCCAGGAGGACTGTGCAGATGAGACTCAAAAGGAGAAAATAAAATCGTCTACAGAGAAGAGTCGAGCTCACGCATACTTTTAGCTCAGGAGATGGGTAGTGAGCAAAGCAATGGCCTGGGAAAGGCCAGGACATAACTGAACCCAGTGTGACTCCAGACCACTGAGGGTGATGAAGCTCAGGGCCTAGGACAAGGCCCACACGGGCTCCAGACCACCAATGTGACAAAGCTCAGGGCCATTCTCGCTTCCAGCTGCACTTCTTCCAGGACAAAGTTGTTAGTCTTTGTAGCAGACTATGGTACTCTTAGCATTCTCCAACACCACAACTCAAAAGCATCAACTCTTCTTCAGTCTTCCTTATTAATTTTCCAGCTCTCACATACATAAAAGGTGATTGAAAATACCATGGCTTGGGTTAGGCGCACTTTAGTCTTCAAGGAGATATCTTTGTTCTTCAGCACTTGAAAGAGGTCTTTTCAGAAGATTTACCCAATGCAATACATTGTCTAATGTCTTGACTGCTGCTTCCATTGATGTTGATTGTAGAACCAAGTAATATGAAATCCTTGACAACTTCTATCTTTTCTCCACCCACTGTGAAGCTGTTTATTGGAGCAGTTGTGAGGATTTTTGTTTTCTTTATATGGAGATGTAATCCACACTACAAAGTGTAGTCTTCAATCTTCATCAGTTAGTGCTTCAAGTCATTCTCACTTTCAGCAAGCAAAGTGTCATCTGCATATCACAGGTAGTTAATGAGTCTTCGTCCAATCCTGATGCCACGTTCTTCTTCATATAATCCAGCTTCTTGGATTATTTGCTCAGCATACAGATTGAATAAGTATGGTGAAAGGAAACAACCTTGAAACCCCCTTCTTGATTTTGAACCATGCAGTATCCCCTTGTTCTGTTCCAACAACAGCCTCCTGATCTATGCAAAGGTTCCTCATGAGTACAATAAAGTGTTCCAGAATTCCCACTCTTCTCAATGTTATCCATAATTTGCTGTGATCCACACAATTGAATGCTGTTGCATAGTCAAGAAAACACAAGTAAACATCCTTCTGGTATTATTTGCTTTCAGCTAAGATCCATCTGGCATCAGCAATGATACCCCTCATTCTACAACCTCTTCTGAATCCAGCCTGCATTTCTGGAAGCTCTCTGTCAATATACTGCTGCAACTGTTTTCTAATTATCTTCAGTAAGATTTTACTTGCATATGATATTAATGATATTGTTCAATAATTTCCACATTCTGTGGGCCTTTCTTTGGAATGGGTACAAATATGTATCTCTTCCAGTCAGTTGGCCAGGTAGCTGTCTTCCAAATCTCTTGGCATACCCAAGTGAGTGCCTCCAGCAGGGCATCCATTTGTTGAAACATCTCA